CTATATAAAAATGGAACACATTTATTGGCTGATAGCTGTCCACTATATAAAAATGGAGCACATTTATTGGCCGATAGCTGTCCACTATATAAAGAAGGAGCACATTTATTGGCCGATAGCTGTCTGCTATATAAAGATGGAGCACATTTATTGGCCGAAAACTGTCCACTATATAAAAATGGAGCACATTTATTGGCCGATAGCTGTCCACTATATAAAGATGGAGCACATTTATTGGCCGATAGCTCTCTGCTATATAAAGATGGAGCACATTTATTGGCCGAAAAGTGTCCACTATATAAAAATGGAGCACATTTATTGGCCGATAGCTGTCTGCTATATAAAGATGGAACACATTTATCGGCCAATAGCTGTCTGCTATATAAAAATGGAGCACATTTATTGGCCGATAGCTGTCTGCTATATAAAGATAGATCACATTTATTGGCCGATAGCTGTCTGCTATATAAAGATGGAACACATTTATTGGCTGATAGCTGTCTGCTATATAAAAATGGAACACATTTATTGGCTGATAGCTGTCCACTATATAATGATGGATCACATTTATTGGCCAATAGCTGTCCACTATATAAAGATGGAACACATTTATTGGCCGATAGCTGTCTGCTATATAAAGATGGAACACATTTATTGGCTGATAGCTGTCCACTATATAATGATGGATCACATTTATTGGCCAATAGCTGTCCACTTTATAAAAATGAAGCACATTTATTGGCTGATAGCTGTCCACTATATAATGATGGATCACATTTATTGGCCAATATCTGTCCACTATATAAAAATGGAGCACATTTATTGGTCGATAGCTGTCCACTATATAAAAATGGAGCACATTTATTGGCCGATAGCTGTCTGCTATATAAAGATGGAACACATTTATTGGCCAACAGCTCTCTGCTATATAAAGATGGAACACATTTATTGGCCGATAGCTGTCTGCTATATAAAGATGGAACACATTTATCGGCCAATAGCTGTCTGCTATATAAAAATGGAGCACATTTATTGGCCGATAGCTGTCTGCTATATAAAGATGGATCACATTTATTGGCCGATAGCTGTCTGCTATATAAAGATGGAACACATTTATTGGCTGATAGCTGTCT